CCGTTCTAGCAATTTGTACCAAGCTCGGTATGGTTATTGTGCTTGCCATATAAAAGCAAACCGTTGAACATTTTTGAAATCGGACTAAAATTGAGGCCGCTTTTCATATAACGGTAAATTTCAAAAATGCTTGAAATTTCAATATTTCGAAATTTAAGGACGCTAATTTACTTAAAATGTATACACCCCGGCTTATCATGTAGCGGTAGCTTTCGGAAAGGTGGAAAACATATATTTAATACTTGCGCCGGGTATTTAATGTTCGGCTCCGCTCGAACTTAGGCTTTCTTACTTGTTTATTTTATTTTTTTATTTAACTTTTATTTCTTATTTACTTTATTTATTTTATTACATTTCATATTTTTTACATATTCTGCTGTAGGTGGTCGCATATTCGAACTCCGTCGATATAAAATCAAAAGGATAATATGAAATTTCGATCTTCCTTTTATTTGTCCTCAATTCGAGAAAAGTATTTGCGAAGTGCAGGATATTTAAATGGAAACGCGTTTAAAGAAAACAATCTCCTTCATTACTCCTGCATTACCTGTCAACTAGTTTCAAGTTAGCTTTTTGTAGCTAACTACTAGTTATATATTTTATAGAAATCCCGCAAAAAAGCTAACTACAAGTGGGTTATTTTTTTATCAATTGATAATTTTTTTCTGCAGGGTTCTTACCTATGATCAATTGTCAGAAGAAGCTCTGGAAGCACGAGACAAAGACCTTAAGAGCTACAAATGTTCTCTATTTGTCCAGCAAGTGCAGCAGAAACAAGTAAGAAAGTCTAAAGACTGCAGTTCTAGGCGCGGGATCGACATGAGCTTCGTCGGAGCGGTACGGGATTTTCCCATTACGAAGCTGACGTCAACGTTTCCTTCGTGGAGAACTCGCAAGTAACCCACCGCAGCAAACGCAACTTGACTTGCGTCGACAAACATGTGCACCTCGACTTTACCGATGCTTGCGACGTACGGCGAGTAACATCGTGGAATCGTGAATTGCCTCACGCTGTCGAACTCTTGCCACCATTGTGACCATTTCCTGCCCAGCTCCTTCGGAAGAATGTCGTCCCATTCTATTTCGCTCTTCCAGGTCTCTTGAATTAGAAGTTTAGTAATAATTAAGAAGTTAGACAACATACCAAACGGATCAAACACCGCCATAACGATGCGCAGTAATTCCCGCTTGGCTGGTGCACGCACTCTGTTTAGTACTTCTTGAGGCACGCGATGAAACTGTGTGTGGAATCCGAACGTATCTTCTTTCGTGTTCCAGTGCAGGCCGAGCACTTTGTCTGCTATTCCGTTTCGTTCCATGCTGACTGCTTCTCTTGCTGGCGACGTTGATTGTTGGTTCATTGTTTCTTCCACCTCACGACAGTTGGAGATAAAATTTCGCAGCTCGAATCCCGCATGTCGATTTATTTTCACTATCTCTTGGCAGATTCTTACTGCTTCTTCGGGCTCGTTAAAGCTGGCAACTAAATCGTCAACATAGTGTTTGTTGATAATCGTGGATACGGCGTCCGGAAACTGTGCTCTAAATTCTTTGGCGTTTTTATTCTTTATGTATTCGGCTATGCATGGTGAGCATACAGCACCGAATATTAGTGATGTCATCGCGTACTCTTCGATGGGTCGACTTTGGTCTCCGTCGCGCCATAAAAAGCGTTGGGCGTGTTGATCATTTTGGCGTATCTTTATTTGTGAAAACATTTCACGAATGTCGGCTGATACTCCAATGCGCCCCTGGCGAAATTGCAATAAAATTCGTATCAGCGATTGTGCTTGTTCTGGACCTTTCAGAAGAGCCGAGTTGAGAGACACATTTGCTACGCTGGCTGAGGCATCAAAAACAATTCGTATTTTTTCCGGCTTATGGGGGTTGAAGACGGCGAAGTGGGGCAAGTACCACACGTTTAAGTCCGGCGCGCTGACTTCGGCTTCGTTCAGCTTTCTGGCGTACCCTCTTTCAAAATACTTGGACATTTCCTCTCTGTACCGCGTACGAAACTCGACGTCGCCTCTCATTCGTTTCTCCACTGTTCACAAGCGCTTTTCCGCCATGGCTCGACTGCTTGGCAATTTCGGCGGATACTCTTTCCACAGCAACCCGACTTCGTACTGGTGTCCCACTTTTCTGGTCGTTTGTTGTAAAGTTGAACGTGCGTGCTTCTCTTCGTCTGACTCTAACTTCTGCGGCGACGACGCCAAAACTATCTGCTGTGAAATATTCTTTTATTAAATCGTTCAGTTACTGCAATTCTCGCACGAGCAGAACACGGGGGTTCAATGGTGATGGCAACTTCGTTGGATCATATGCAACCCAGCCAAGTGGAGTTTTCGCAGCCAAGGGACTATCGCTGCTGGCTTGCACAATCGCTGTGGTGGCGCCGAGATGTGCGTGTTTTAACCCAATCAGCAACACTGGTTTTGCACGATAATAGTTCAAAATGGGCAAATCTTTAAGATGATCGAAATTTTCTTTTCTTAGTGACTGTTCGGGTAAATTCAAGTTTTTTACCGTGTACACATCTTTAAGCGCAAATCTATTCTTGTTAGTGCAGTTCTCGATTTCAACGGCAACCTTACTGGCTTGCTCGGTTACCATTTAATCGTCATACCACTGCAGCGTGAGTGCATGTACATCGCCTTTAGCACCGATCATATTTGCTACGCCGGCCTCCATTATCGACACTGACGAACCTTCGTCAAACATGGCGAGGACTTCCTGCTTGCCGTCCGGGCCGTAAATATTAACCGGTAACATTTTAAATAGCAAACCTTGCGAAATTTGTGTTACCCGACAATTTAACAGTGGCTGCACAGCGGCATCCGATTGCGTGACTCGACGTGGCGTTTGGTCAGCTGCTTCGTCAATGTGCAGTAGCTGGTTGTGGTATCGTTGGCATCCATTCACCTCACACCTTCGCCTTGACCGACATTTCTGCGTGCAGTGGCCCTTGCGCAAACATGAAAAACATAATTGCTGTGTTTTGACTAGTTCCCACCGGTCCTGAACGCCTATCGACTTGAACGACTCACACTGTGCTATCATATGGCTTCCACTGCAGTGATAACACTTTAAAGTCTCTTTCGCTCGGTTGATATGCATAAGGCGACGCGGATTGTTCGGCGCAGCATTTTGTTTGCTGCTTTGTGTGCTTGTTGTCGGCATTAGACAAATTATCCTTGCCAAGTCGCTGAGCCACTCCGAAAAATGTTCGATTGTTGGATAAGGCGAGATGGTCGCAGCGTGCTTCGCCCAATCGAATTGTCTGGTTTGCGGCAGTTTGATAATCATTTCCTCAAGCAACGTCACGTTTGACAAATGTTGTTGACAATTCGCGGACTTCAGAAACGCCACCACATTACGGACTTTTGACGAAAACGGTATAATCCTTTCGACTTTGCTTTCAGGTATTGGCGGGAACTGCTGCAATTGGCTTATTTGCCCTTTAACCAAAATGTCGGGCCGACCAAACCGAAACTCAAGCTCACGCATCACATTCGGCACATCATTCGGAAAAATTAACATGACCGCCACTGCCTCTTTTGCCGGGCCAACCAGACATTTTTGCAACCGCATTAAATTTTGCCGGTGGCTGTAACGAAACGCCTGTGTCGTGTCGTTGAAATTTGCGTAGAACAATGGCCATTCTTCAATATAACCGCCAAACGTAGGCAAGTCGTACAACTTTATGTGCGAACCGGTATCCTCCACGACAGCCTTGCGTTGTTCGTCTTGTGCTGGCTGCACACTACTCCCACTTACACTTTGTGGCTGCATACCCTCGCGTAATCGTACAATGTCCCTTTGGCTATCTTCGGTACTTTGTCGAAGCTCATCCACTGAAGCCCGTAATGCGTTCAGCGTGGCAATAATGGCGTTCACATTTTCTTCGCTGGGCGCTCCTTGTTGTCCCTCCATCGTTGTACTTTCGAACGACGAATCACTTTCGCTGGTTTGTCTGCTGTCTGCCTTTTCTGTCGCTCGATTCCGTAAAAAATATCTCCTCGGCTCCGACATGCAACTACCCCAGCGAGTCCAGTTATTTCCGTTACCCGTATTTATCTGGTGATCTTGCGAAGCGCACAAGTGTAAAAACTGTAAGAAATGGCTCACCGCATACGTTCCACGGAAATTAAATAAACTTTGCTAACGCTTATGTATATGCTTATTTATTGAAGCTTAACAAAAAACATGAAATTTAAATTTATCGTTTGAATATAAAATGATACGCTGTATGACTCGTTTTACACTTGTGTGTTTCGTGCGCCTCGCTTAAGCTTCCATCGATGTATATCTAGAATTTTCATTTGTCAACTTAGCTGCTGTCCATCAATTCGGTGGCGGTAGCGTTGCCACCTACAAAAATATGTTACAGGGTGCCTAACAGAAGTTTCAAGCATTTCTAAAGTTTACCGTTATATGAAAAGCCGCAATTTTAGTCCGATGTCAATAATTTTCAACGTTTTGCTTTTATGTGGTAAGCACAATAACCATACCGAGTTTGGTACAAATTGGTAGAACGGTTACCGAGATACATATATGTGATCATAAGTGGGTGGTGCCACGCCCATTTTACAAAATTTTATCATAAACGTATTTCTTGGTAAAGAGTTGTTACAAGCGTCAATGTTGAATAAAGTAGCTTTAATATTTACTGATTTATCAAACATTTCGTATTTCTCCAAATTACCGTTACATGGGATGTGGGCGTGGTTATTGTCCGATTTTAAAAATTTTCGGCCATTTGGTATCCTGTACCAAAACCAATAACCGTGCCAAGTTTGGAACAAATCGGTGCAGCGGTTGCCAAGATATACACATGTAACCATAAGTGGGCGTGGCTACGCCCATTTTTCAAAAATTTATAATATTCTTATTTTTCCTCTTAAAAGTATTGTAAATATCAATTTTGAGTGAATAATCTTCAGTAATTACTAAAATATCGCAGTTTTTGTATTTCTGAAAATTACCGTTATATGGGAGGTGGGCGTGGTTATTGTCCGATTTTTCCCATTTTCAATACCATCCGTCCTACGCCAGAAAGAAGTACGCGTACCAAGTTTCGTTAAGATATCTTAATTTTTTACTCAAGTTATCGTGTGCACAGACGGACGGACGGACAGACAGTCACCGGTTAATCGATTTCTCTTTTCATCCTGATCATTTACATATGTATACATTTGTCTATATCTATCTCGATTCGTTTTGCCTGTTACAAACAACCGTTATGTGATCAAAGTTATAATACCCTTGTGCACAAGTGCGCGCGGGTATAAAAAGACGAATGAAGATATAAGTTGTGTTTGTTTACAAATTATCCAGTAACTTGCCAGCAACTCACCAGTAACTTTATTTCTAAGAATTCGCTCTCCTAGAAAAATTTACAAAAAAGTACGCGAACGCTTTTCCAGTAATAATTTGCAAGTGTCATGAACAGCTGATAAATTGGTTGTTTATTCGCAGCATATTCCTAATAAAACAGTATATTTTATAATTAACCTTCAGAAGACACACTGGGGTGTAAGACACCCCAGTGCAAAGCCTATTTTTGATAAACTTTTTTCGTTATGTCAATAAAAGCTAACCATGCAATTATATGATCTTGTACCTTTGAAAAATTCAATAAGACATTTCATTTTAAATTTATTTTATCTAAATATTTCCAGCGTAATATATGCAAAAAAAGCTTAAGCTGTGTGTTTTAAAAGCAACATTTCAAGTGGGGTGCAATTTACCCCAGTGTGTCGTTCACGTCCTCCGAAGGTTAAATATGTTTATTTCGTGAATTTCCACAATAAAAAGCCACAAACAGTTTCCTTATTAGTTTAAATTTCATCCAGCAACATGCGATCAGCTGTTTTTCGTACTGGCTGTAAGAATTTGTAAAAATGTATCCAGTAAAATCCAGCAAAAACTTGCAACTTCAACTGTCATTTTTTGCTCTCTCAATTTCCCCTACTTTGCAAGTTTTTGCGTACGAAAACGCCAAAATATGAAAATTCGTAAAAACTTTGACTGGATTTTGCTGGAAATGAGTAAACAAACGAAACTATATTCCATTCAGTTCCGACCTTGTTATACCAAGTATAAGAAAACTACCCTAAAGAAATTGTAGGAGTTGCAGAAAGAAGCAAAACATTTGATAATTATGGAGAACTATAGTGATGATGAAGAAGTTGACAGCGATGACAATGACGCAAGCGAAGATGATGATTGTTTATATTAAAGATTATATTTTTTAAACTACTTTCTAAGCTTAACAAAAACACAGAGAAAATTTTTACAATTCGGATTCATTAATACATAAAAAGTTACCTATAAAGGACAATGGTGTTTACTTTGTCATGAAAAATTAACAAAACAGTTGTTATTAGATTACTTGGCAACGTGAGTGAATTAATTTGCTCTAGGAAGAAATCTTTTGAAAGTAGTACTTCCGTAAAGTGATGATGAAAATTGTGATGAAGATAATGATGAGGATAATTGTGATAGTGATGATATTTAGTTTGTAATTAATGATGATTATGATTTTGACAAGTTATCATTAAAAATACAAATTATTTATAAAAAAACCACTAAAGTTTCACTCTTTTCGCTCTTTGGTAATGTTATAAAAACCTTAATAAAAAAAAAACCCACTAAACTATTTTCTTATTTGTCTTTTTTTACTTCATTTGGTGCTAGATATACAAATACATCAAAATATTTTAAATTAAATGTACGTATGAATTGATCTCCACTTTCAAGGTCGATTACCCACTATGTGGCGGTTGCTGCTATTTATGAAAATTTCATGAAAATCTGACCTGTCGTTCGCATGATTACCTCTTACAAAAAAAGAGACTTCTCTTTATATAATTGTTATAGATAACTGAAATATAACCGCCAAGTTAATCTTAATTATACTGAGAAAACAGTCAGCTATATATATTTTTTTTCTAAGCACTACACCTTTTCCAACAGTATTTCAGAAAAACACAAATGTATTTCAGAAAAGGCCAAATGAATTTCAGAAAAGGCCAAATGAATTTCTGAAAAACTCAAATGTATTTCAGAAAACCTCAAATGTATTTTAGAAAAGGGCAAATGTATTTCAGAAAAGCTCAAATGTATTTCAGAAAAGGCCAAATGTATTTCAGAAAAAGCCAAATGAAATTCAGAAAAACAATTGTATTTCAGAAAAGTTCAAATTATTTTCAGAAAAACGCAAATGTATTTCAGAAAAGCGCAAATGTATTTCAGAAAAATATTTTTAGAATACAGTTATGCTTTTCTGAAATACATTTGTGCTTTTCTAAAATACATTTGAGGTTTTCTGAAATACATTTGAGTATTTCAGAAATTCATTTGGCGTTTTCTGAAATTCATTTGGCCTTTTCTGAAATACATTTGGGTTTTTCTGAAATACATTTGCGTTTTTCTGAAAATAATTTGAACTTTTCTGAAATACAATTGTGTTTTTCTGAATTTCATTTGGCTTTTTCTGAAATACATTTGGCCTTTTCTGAAATACATTTGATCTTTTCTGAAATACATTTGCCCTTTTCTGAAATACATTTGAGGTTTTCTGAAAAACATTTGAGTTTTTCTGAAATTCATTTGGCCTTTTTTGAAATTCATTTAGCCTTTTCTGAAATACATCTGTGTTTTTCTGAAATACTGTTGGTAACTATAACTAAATATTGTCACTATAACGAAATCATGTTTTGAGAGAAGCATATTTAGTTAACATACCTAAACTCTCTTCTCAGAGTACTTGTGTACAAAAATATCATCCCATTATTGCCATCGACTTACAGGTTTCCAAGCTGATGTGCAGAAATCTTCTGAAAAAGCTGACCTAGCACTGAGGACAGTACCAAGCATTGAACAAGAAATCGAAAATGCCGAGCAATTGATAAGACAAGCAGGAGAGGTAAGCGTGACAAATACTGTTGTATTTTATTTCGGAAGTCCTAATTGTTATACACGTGCGTTAACTTTTTTAATTTTCCGAAGGCTTTAATGGGTGCTAATAAAAATGCGCTCGAGGCAAAAACCAACGCACAGCAGGCACAAGAGAAGTATGCCGAGCAGGCTTCAAAGGTATTTGCATACTCATTTGTTCAAAACCAAATTCAAATGTTAAGACATTTTGCAATTTTCTCTTCAGGATGCGGAA